AACATGACTTCCGCCTTTTGGGAAGCTTCCAATGAAGCAACAAAATCAACGATGCGATGTAATTTTCACGCAGGTAACGAGTTCGCAGCGATAATAAGTAAAAATAATACACGGTCGGTCCTTCAAAAGGGCTTTGCTCGGATCAGATAGCCCAAAACTTCAATCCCCCCCCCCCCCCCCCCCCCCCCCAAAAAAAAAAAAAAAAAGAGAAAGAGAAAACACTTGTCGCCGCGTTTTGAATTTCCCCGCAAACTGAAGATACGGCTCCGATCGCCCGAAGTGACAGGTTTCTATGACCGCCTCGTTGCTCGCGCAAAACTCGGAAAGCTGTCAATACGAAGGGCGAAGCAGATGTCAAATGCATAATCACGTAGCACCCAATTTGGTTACGCTGGTGGGGTCTACTACTCTAGCGTCTCACTCACGTCTCAATCAGTCGGTCAACTTAAGAAATAAAAAAAGTATGTACCAGATGATGAGAAGGTAATCCGTAAACGTTTTATTTGAGCTTTATGTCAAACAAACACCATATCCAACCCATGATACCTCACTCCGACGAGGATATATCCGCCTCAAAACACAATCCACACGCCATGAAGCACAAACACAAACACACGGGTGCAACAGCATCAGACCGACGAAGACATATCCGCTCCAAACTACAACCAACTCGCTAAATAATTAGAAGGTTCTGACTAATGACTCGCCACGAAGCACACAGACGCACACCACTCCGAAGATGGCAAGCGGGCGACGCGGGGAAGCGGGAGGACAAAGCTGGCTTTTTAATTTAGAGATTGAGGTCAGCCTATTCACAAAAGAAGAGTCCACATCGAAAAAAAAAAATACTTGTTCGGATATCTTCGAGGTCCGGATGCGCGCAAAAAGAATGCTGCTATACGAGCTCTGCCGTGTGCGGCGTGTGCGGGGCTTTCCGAGAAAATATTTTGGATTTGGATCGAAAACTAAACTGGATTTTGGATTTTAAAACAAGGTTGCCCGATGGAAGTCTGGTAAACTCTCAAAGAAATGGATAACTACCGAGCAACCGCCAAAAGCGGCTCGGTGTATGTGAACGACGCCGCTTTTCGAACGGTATTCGCAACCGCTTCGCAAAAGCGCCTCAACCGCCACTGTGAATACGATATTACTGCTTATATTTCGTGATGGGTTGCAGTGTTGCCGGGTCATGAAAATTTTCTTTGTGGGGGAAAAAATCGCATATAAAAGTCGAAAAATTCTTTTCAAGCATGCAGATGCTGAGCCAAAAAATAGAGTTTCGACTGTGGGTGAAAACACACTGTAGTGGAAACCGCGACTAAAATATTATGTAGTGTTTGGCAGTAGCGTAGCCAGGCATTTTTTCTTGGGGGGGGGGGGGGGGGGGGGTCGTAGTCAAACGGAAGGAAAGGGGCTCAGAAATCTCTTCTCCAGGTACGTCACTGGGATGTGGTGACTGTTGACCAACGTGAAAACAAACATAAACTTAATCTCCAGAGACGCCGTAATCGCAGTCAGTTGTGCACTCTGCTGCAATTACAACAGCCTTAAATTTTACGTTACAAAACAGCGCCTACATAGTTCCAATAAGAAAGAGGAAAGGGGAAAGGGCATGGAACCGCGGAAGATCTCACACTTTGTGCCTTTCCTCTATGCCGGAGAGCTCTCACTTTAGGAGCAAAGAAAATTATTATCCCGTTTTAGTAATATTTCTTACCTATTTAATATTTTAGGTTCAATACACATTGACGAGCCACACATCTTTAGCAAGCAGGAAGAGCCTTCATTACAAAAAATTATGAATAAAAACACAAGCGAAAGAACGTGTGCGTTTTATTGCTTCAGAGCCTCTTCCTCTCGAAGAGGGTAAAATGGATGTAGCAATGTGCTCAAGCAGACGACCAGCGTAACGATACGCCACTGTTGTAACGAGCCACCGAGTTGACCACGGCACCCGAAAGGGAGAGCGGAGCAGCTGGGGAGCGGCCCGCCGTTTCCACTCTCCGCCACTTACTCAGCTCATCGCGCCATCTGGGGGCACCCCGGAGAACTAAAGCAAATGTCCGAGAATCCTGGCCTTGATGCGAACTTGTATGTAGGCTTGTAGCGCAAAGCGCGGAAAAGAGACAGCGACCTGAGACCACCAAGTGCTCGCAAGCGTGAGGGGTAATCATTACTGCTAGAATTATTCGTTCGTCCGACACGCTTTTGTTTTTACTTTTATTTGTGTGCTGTGTGTGTGTGTTTGGCGGATGAGATTTTCGATGTTATTCACTTTGCTCTAGACATGGTTGATTAAGGATATACGCAAGACACGTTTTTCAAACACGCATGAGCATGTTTTCATGGTTTGACTCACGCTGTACCCTTACAAAAATTGTTATGCTTTTCTGTAGAAAAGCTGTTGAAAAAAGTCAATAGAGGATATAGAATGTCAACAGCTTTTCTGTTTAGTTTCTTTGAATATTGGAACACTTTTCTAATGAAAGTCGACAGACTTCCCGTGATCCTTTTCTGTTGAAAAGCTGTTGAAAAATGTCATGAGGATATAAAATGTCAACAGGGTTTCATGTGACTTTCTCTAGCTTTTCTGTTGACTTCCTTTTGAATATTGGCCCACCTTGTAATAAGAAAGTCAAGAGACTTTCTGTCGCCTCCAAGATGCTTTTTCTGCAGCTTCTCAACTGAGAAGCTACAGAAGATTAAAAAGAAAAAAAATTGTTTGCAGCTTAGCTATTCATTCAACAATGTTTTGGAAGCCTACTATGGCTTTCCAATCCTCCAAACTAGCTGCAGCAAAATAAAGTAAAAAAAAAGGCCAATTTTGTTTTTTTTAAATATATTTTTTAGTAAATGGTGTCCCTGTGGTATTTGAAGTCACTACTACGTCACCCCACAACTACACATTAGGAACGAACAGAAACATCACAAACACAAAGACATTAGGAACGAACACAAAGCCCTCAACACATGAATTATTTTTCTTTATTTGCACTGAACACCTGAATCACAGACCCCTTGACTGCCCCAGAGCCTTATATAACCTGCATATTGAAGGTAATCATTTGGCCGGTGGCCCCCTCAGGACTTATTAAGGTTCCAAGTATTTAAACTCCTCCTCAGGAGTCTCTCAAAGGGAAAACAGTCTTTCGAAGTTCCTGGACGATATCTCTTACTAAAAAGCATTGGTACTACTAATACTAATTTGGCGCAGTCGCTAAAACAACATCCACAACAACGGTTTCTATAAGAAATATTATGGCTTCTCTGCATAGGACCCTTCAGGACGAAGCGAGCAAAGGCAGTTTTTACGCTTTCAAATAGTTATATTGCTTTTCTTTGCTAGTTGACTATTCAATATGGTCATTATAGTCACTATGGTCACTTACACAGTCAGAACGGCAGGGCATGCCTTTCGAGCTCCTGGCCTCCACGAAGGAAGGCCCCATGCCTTCCATCGTGCTTTGACTGCACGCGCGCGCTCCAGGTGCGCGAACGCCGAAGCGTTGTCAAGGGTAGTAGGCTCGCGCTGGAGGCGGAACAACTGAAGTTGCATCCCGTTCTCACCTTGTCAGAGACTATTGAAAAACGCAGCAACTTTTGACTTCAAGTCGAGGTGTACAATTTTCAATAAAATGTCAACAGAAAGCCTGTAGCTTTTCTTATGACACTGGCTACAGAGAGTCAACAGTAAATTTTCATCGCGAAGTAAACTGAACGTCTGCACTCATTTTGATGACACTGTCAACAGAATGTCAGCAGAAAAAAAGTCAACATAAAGTTAATAGAAAGTCAACAGCTTTTCTTTTGACTCAGGCTGAAGAAAATCATCAGAAAAGTTTCAACACAAAGTCAAGAAACTTTCTGCTGACCCTGTCGACAGAAAGTCCAAGTCAAAAGGAAGTAATCAGAGTCAACAAGAAGTCAACACGTTTTCAATAAAAAGTAAAAAAACATTTTTATAGGGGTACAAATCGTTTTAGTGAGATCGCAAATCATTCAAAAGGACAATTTTGTGGTCACTTGTGTTAATTATTGATGGCGAGAACGACAAGGAAGCACCAGCGATAGTAATTTTGATAAGTGCATCGCGCGACACAGTTTCAGTTCAGTTTATTTATTTTCCGACGACCGAAAGAAACATATCTCCTACTAAGTTATGCATTGAAAATTACAATATGAGAAAGCCCGTTGTAATAACACACATAGTTGTTTTATAAGCCTAGTAAGCTGTTTAATAAATGAAGTACTATTAAAACAAATTGTCATTGTCTGGCGTCACTGCTTTCTTACACAAGGTTTGTCACCTTACAGTTGAAAGTTTTGTATTACATTTGCGTGTAAATAAAAAAATGTCTCTCAATGACCAAAAAAGCAAAAACCCAAGAAAAAAATAAAAAAATAAACGGCGACGATGGCGTTCGAAAGGAGCATTTTCATCTTTCGTTGTTTGCATATGTACAATATCCACAGTTCTCAAGCGACTTCGGAAAATGCTTTTGAGCTTTGATTTGGTGTATAAAATCTCATGAACACGCTTTGAGCTTCTGAATTTCTTCCTCTCCTTACCTATTGTAGGCAATTACAACGCTTTCTTCACTCTTACCTAAAGGTAAACTGAAGCGGTTTTCTATTTGAGTAAAAACAATTAAATGGAATTCATTTGGCCTCCAGGCTCACGAATATTGAGATTTCTTGTTTCAATATTCAGCACGGAAGTAGCAGAAAATCATTTTCAATATACCACTGAAGCCCCATGTTCCCGGAGCGTTACGTCATAAAAGGAGTTTTCGAAATCTCCGCTTTCGCGTACCTTCAGTGCGTATCAAAGCTATGCATGCGCGCTCCTACTATTTTTAAAAATGTAAAAAAAGACGTCACGACTGGTGTTTGTGTGTGGAATATACCCTCCGGGCGGCCACTCCGGCGCCACCGTCGCTTGCGCTCGCCAGCGCCGCCCGTGGTCGACCTAAGAACGATTGGTATGTTCCCATCTGAAAATGGCGGCTCGCACGTGCGATCCGACGGTGCTCTTTTGCGGCTTCAGAAGGATTGACAAGATCGCAGAATATTTCAAAGAAAAGTCACTAAAGTTAGGGGAGCAACTTTATGCGGGCCGTCACGTGTTTGGCGTGAAAGAAGAAGTCATTCATCCCACAGCTCCCAGCGAAGTTGTAGGGAAATGCCTCGCGCAGATGAAGTCTGCTGTGTACAACGTCCGGCTTCAGGTGAGCGTGCCACCCGGTTCGGTTTCGCGTACCCCACCTCCACTCCTCATTTGTTGTTGTTCTCATTTCTCGGTTCAACCGTGCATTACACACATTTCTTTTTTTTTTTTTTTTTTTTTTTTTTTTTTTTTTGCTACGGCAGCTTTCAGCGCACCCGAGACTCATCGTGGGCGCGAGCTGCACCTGCAAGGCTGGCGTGCGTGGGTGGTGTAAACATGGAGCAGCGCTCGCGACTTTTGTGAACAGCGAGAAGCACACTGCGTGCACGGACCGCCCTTGTGCCTGGGGGAAGCCGTCCTCGCGGCCCGTTCTCGACAAAAAAAAAAGGATTGATGAGCTCTTCCCACGTAAGAAATCTAACAGCAACCCCAAACGCGGGGAAGAAATACATATATATATCTTTGACAAACCGCACTCATGCTTTCACAATCTATTTTGATACTGCCACTCTTTCCAGGCTACAAGAGTCAGCTTGGCAATCCTGTGGTGACGCCGGCTTCACCATCACTGCTGCTGCTAGGCCATTTTGGTGAAATAAGGTGCCCCTTGGCTGAGGTACTACAGGCAGAAAACAAGGATGATGTTGACAGGGACTGCTTCACCCTCTTGTCAGAGATGGTTAACGATGTGGTAGATCAGTGCGACACCGAGATGCTGACTGACCTACTGAAAGGAGAAAAAAAGGTGTACGGAGTGATGAAGATCGTCAACCTCCTTCCATTACGCATACAGAAGCATGATCCACTCCTGGATATGACGCAGGAGAGCCGGGCACTCTACGAAACATTTGTCTGTAAAAATTTCGACGAGATTTTGGAGATCGCCCTCATGACAAGGGGTCAGGCAGCTGCCAGCAGGTTTGTATTAAAAGATAACATAGAAAACAGTGTCTTGCATAGGTAGGTGGTTGATATGACAAACGCTTTATTTGTCCTGCTTGCAACTACAGGTGGGCCCAAGAGCGAAAATTTCGCTTAACAAGCACGAAAGCCCATGGAGTAAAGACAAGGCGGGCCAAGTTTCATCGGCTTGCCAACTCCTTGGCTCATCCCAAGACCTTCACTTCGGCTGCCACATCATATGGTAATGAATACAGCAAGCCCATTTCTCTGGAGCAAGGGTGTAGAAAGCTGTTCCCCCTACTTTAATCTTGTCAGCAGGTGTGACAATTTTTTTTTTGTTCAAAACCAGGCAGGGCAACCGAGGGCAAGGCACGGGCAGTGTTGGCGAGAGCTCTTGGAAAACCCGTGCACCAGGTAGTGTTTCTGGTCCTGAATTTGTGAATAAAACAGCTAATTCAAAACAAATTTGTGCAGGTTGGACTCGTGATCCACCCGGATCAACCATGGCTGAGCTGCAGTCCAGACGGCATTCTGTGCTGCGACGATGGGTACCGCCTAGTGGAAGTGAAGTGCCCATACTCTCTTCGAGATTCAAAGTTAATTGACTATCACAAAGAGACGAGCTTTGTGAAATACGTCAAGTATGTAGATGGACACCTCGTCCTGAAAAAGAGCCACAGTTACTACACTCAGGTTATGGTCATGATGTATATCTTGAATGTAGTTGAAACATATCTTTTTGTGTATTCAAAGAAACAGCACATCATTGTCACAGTGCCCCGGGACGAGCAGTTCCTTGCAGAGTATGTCCCGAAACTAGAGAATTTCTACTTTCGGTACATGCTCAAAGCATTCCAGAGAAGTGTCTAGCGACATTTGGGTGGTAACGCTGCAGTAACCAGATTTATATAGCGACAGCAACTGAGGTAAAAAATAGATGCTTAAAACCATGGGCCATCAATTACATTTAACATTAAAGAGACGCCGACACCCCCCTTTTTTTTTTTGTCCTGCCAGGCAATTTATTACGACGTCAGACTACCCAATCATTATTTTGCTACAGTGTCACATATATTTTTAATAAAGTCAAGTAGTGCCACGGCTCGAAACCGGAACTGGACTGGGGAGGAAAAGGAAATATAGAGGTGGAGAAACATACCAAAAGTCATGCGACTGTGGAACTTTTTTTTTTTTCTTTCAATCGCCGTATTTGCAGTTTTTCAGAAGTCACAACAAATGGGTATCATATTTTGTGTCCATTTTTAGTATTGAGTGTGTGCCTTCGGTGACCCATGACTGGTTGGTTACCTTTGGTGGTTGTGTCTAAACCATAGAAAACGGCACCTAACCACGGAAAAGAGAGCGAGCGCAACTGAAACCAGCCGGTTCTCAATCTGCGGTTTTCGGGTGGAAAGAAAACAAATTTCAAGTTGCACATTGTGTTCTGGGTAGTTAGGCGAGGACGAGGTGTTCATCTACACACAAGAGAAGCAGAATTGTTTTATTTTTTATCAATCAAAAGGACAATTAAGTACTGTGATATACAATGTAGTGTTTGAAAAACTTTGTTTACTGTAAAAGCAACCAAGACAATAAATTCACTGAAAAAAGCTTTGTGCAATGTGTCATACAATACAGAACATCACTTTGGGAATCAAAGTAGGATGCAGAGAAATCAGATATACAGTGAACCCTCACTTGAGCAAACTCCAAGAAACCCAAGGAAATGGTTCACTAAATTGAATATATTCACTAGAATATGGAACAGCATACATCAAGTCACAAGTGTGAAATGCAATTTATGGAGTCATGTACATTGATATATACAAAGTAAATAAAAATTACATTGCTGCTTTTCTCATTTAAAAAAAAAATAATATACATATATTCTTTATATGCCCCGGCACTCTCAAGGCGCATGAAGTAACAAAACTGTCCAGAGATAGTTTTTTTTTTTTTTGTACTTCGCCAGGCACAGCTTGTTGCTGTGACAAACCCATACCACAACGGCATAGTCCACTGGCTTGAAATATCCTGTGCTTCACTTCACTAACATTTTTGCATAAAACGCATAGAAAAACCGCTGGGGATTTTTTCAAAGTTTGTTGTTCTGAAATATTTGTTCAACCGACGTTCGCTCAAGTGGGAGTTTACTGTACAAAAATATCTGACAGGCTTAGATATTGCACTAACAAAATTAGATATTGCACTACTTCAAATAAGCCACATGGGAAGTAAGAACAAACCTCGAAGCACACAAGTAGAACAGCATTCTAGGTCGCAGAGTCATTTTGCAATAATTGGTGGCTGCAAATTCACGAGTACGCAGCACATGCGTACAATGTCCGTCATACTAGGAATAAGTTCGGTCGGGACTCTGCTATTAAGGATATTGAAAACTTTGACCCTCTGAATGGCCCTCTCGACATGAATTCGCACCTGTGCAACTTGATACGTCATCTCCATCTCCTCATTTGTGAACTGCAACTGGCCTTTCGAAAATGGGGGAAACACCATAACCCCATGCTTGTTTTCAACTGGCGCCTTGATTCCGGGAAAGCCTTTGTCGGCCAGCACAACATCTCCTGGTTCTATGTGTTCCAAAAACCCAGAGTCTATGGTTATGTAAGTGTCCGACGTCCGACCCCCATATGCATCCGAGATAAAGGTGACAGTTCCATTGGGAAGAATGGCAATTAAGAACTTAACCGTGTGGCATCCTTTGTAATGTGAAAAGAGTGCCCGCTGTTGTTCTATTGTTGCAGGAGTTTCCGTCCTCACCTCGGTGCAGTCAATAATGTACCGGCACCTAGGATAGTGTGCTTTGAAGCACTCTGGCATCGTTGCCTGTACCGCGAAGAGAGATGGATGTGGAATCCAAGAGCTTGTGGCAGAGCTCAGGTTCCTCAAAATGAAAAAGAAGATGCGTCTCACTGTCGTCCTGTGCACGCCAAAAAGCACGCCAATGCTCGTGAATGAAATGCCCAGCTTCAACTTCACGAGAAATATGATCAGTTTGTTTTCAATAGAGACATCAGTCTCCCTGACAACGATAGAACAAAGCAAATGCAGTAGCAGAGCGAAAACATTTGTGCTCACCGAGCAGAGCTCTTCAAGAGCACCAACCTTCCCCACAAGAGAATCATGCCCAGCAAAAATGCAGGTACGGCTGTCAGGTCCCACAGCTATTTCTGCACGTTCTGTTGATGCTTGGACAGCAACACTTTCAGTGACAGCATGGGACACCTGGGTAGATGCCTCACCATCCGATGCGACGGACAAAAACAAGCTGCAGGCTCCAACTCCGCCATCATTTTCGGTCTGTGTGAACTGTAAAGAAATATAATTTTCATGAATCTGCTGCATGTGCTATAGTTACAGGTTAAGAAAAGTTTTCGTGGGAAAGGAGAACAGGGGAGGAGGAAGCAGACAATGCTGAAAGGAGACAGGGAAACCACCTCCTCTCTTCAGCATTCCGTCTGCTTCCACCTCTCCAGCCAGAAACCTTCTCTTAACCTGTCATTGACTTTACAACGTCAGTCATAATTTGGTAAAACCATGCAGGTGAATGCAGTATCGTAAGAAAGTTATAAGCTGGGCTAATTGGTGTAGGCTAGACATAATGTAGGTAAAAAAAAGCGTGTAACGACAAGGTTTAAGGAGAGGGACAAGCATGCTCATCTTGTTGAGACCAGTGCAAGCTTCCTCTACGGCGATGCCTTCATTTCGTTCATTTAATGGTTGCCCTTGTGACAAGGAATGTCGCAAAATCGTTGTGGTGTACGTGCTTCTTCGTGGTGGCATGGCAACGCAATGGTCACACCACTGTCGATGCGATACGCTACGTGAAATACTTGAGTGATGCCACCTCCATGCTGCGTCAGCGGACTCGGCCTGCTAGTGTGGCGCCTTCAAAGCAATATTTATTTATCCGTGAAGCGGGTGCACTCGCCGAGTCTGGTCATTGTGATCAGTCGGTGGTAAATCAGGTGAGCAGTAATTGACTTGTCCTATCAATGGCGCACTTGATCCTGCCATAGACAAGATGTAGGAAATTACCAGCACCTCGCCTCGTGCGAGATAACAGAGGTCTTTGGACGGGACGATGCCGTCCCGTCCAAAGAGCAGCGTGCTCGAAACCAACGTTGCCGATGTCGCCATATAGACCTAGTCGCGGAGCAGACGACGCAATACCTCCGCAGGCTCCGCATCTCCCTGTTACAGCCCTTGGGCACTCTGACTAAGAAAGGTAGTAAACGCAATAGTGTCACCAAGTGTCAACGCTCGTAATTACGGTATGCATGGCCATAAGGAGGCCGATGATGTCGAGGGGTGTGACGAATGTCCCGAGACGCACCATGCTCTTCGATGCCTGATTTTGAAGCTCAGCAGAATCAAACATTTACAACGAAAAATACAGCCATTCATTTGAAATATAAGCATGCGATTGTCATTAGCAGGCAGAGTTGATCATGTTTAACTTATTTCTGAACACGATAGTTATATTTTGGTTTTTATTCACTACCGCCTTAAAGGGGCCATGAAGGAAGTTTCGAAGTTTTATTCTACGATTGAAATGGACGTCAGGCACGTCTCAGATACTGTTGACCAAGTTCTAGCCCGAACAGAAGTTTGGGTGCCGCACCAATCGAGCAAACAGGCGCGGTAATAATAGCTCCGGGAACGATGCCCGAGACCCCACCGAGGCGGCGGCAGAAAGGTGAACTAAAGTGCGCCGTCGAAGCGTGACGACAACGGGCTCCTCGTCTGGCGATTGGTTCAAACGATAGACGCGCTCTTGGTTTCGATTTCGGTGGTGAGATGTGATGAAAAATTTTTATTTGAACGTTGGATAATCTTTTTTTGAAGGGTTTCATACCGTGTATAAAAGCCTAATCTGAAGCGATCCCTCCGTTTGTCACTGGTTGAACGCACCCTGTACTGCTACCTCGGGCGCGTAACAAGCATCGAGCAACCATGGACAAAAAAAAAGAAAAAGGTACGAGCGCCGGGGGCGGCGACTTTTGGTTTTGGTTTCGTGCGTCGTCTCGTGTTCGCTTTGCAAACTGGTGTCACCAATCATGCCGCGTTTATGTGCAGTAGTAGGATGCGCGAAAGGTCGGCTAAAGACGTGCGGTCGATCGGGCGACGTTGTCGTCCATTTCTTCCAGGTTTTCTTCACAGACCGCCGTGCACTAGAGCGAACCACGGGAACCACACTGAGTGTGCACTAAATCCTACCGATGCCGACAGTGCTCTCTGATGTCACTTCTCTTTCCAGAGGCGAAGGAAGAAATCTGAATGTTTGTTTCGGTTTAGCAAATTTATTTGCAGGTACAGAAATAAGAGTCGCAACGTTGTAGAAACAAATTGTGTGGCATGCTAGGACCCCAATGCTTCCGAAAACACCTTTAAAAAAAATTAAATTGCCTTCATGGTCCCTATAAGGACCCAAGGCTAGCACGCGCATTGCACTGAATGATATTAAGAGAAAAAAGAAAGGGGATTCAAGAAAACATATCTTCCAACTTGACTCACTGCGTTAACACTCCACACGGCGTCTCCCTCTGACAGTGGCGGTTCAGCAGAGACCTCCGGACCGTCTTCAGTGGCCGAGTTCCCAGCTGCTGTAGTCGAGGGCCCAGCTAGTTCCCCCCTTGAAGCTGCAGGTTGTGAGGAAACACCTGAGTTTCCCCAGCTCCTCCTGTTTTGCCAGCTATAAGTCGAAATAAAAATAATATTTTACAATGGTACGCAAACAATTACAAACCAACGAACAAAAGTTTGTTCTGTGCATCATGACTCACCTGAATGATATTGAGTTCAGTTTTATTTTCTATACTTTTGTGTTGGCTTCACTAGACCACCCGGACAGAAGCTACGCTTCATGCATGCTCAGCCATGTCAAATTAGGTGGTCAAATTAGTTGCAACCTCTAGCTAATCATTTCTAGGCGAGACAGTCTTGTTACAATTAGGGGTGCTGCAAATTTTTTTAACCGAAGGTTGGACGACCAAACTAAGCAATGAGAAAACGCATATGAATGCAAATATTGCCTTGAAGCTTCACTAAAATGCTCTCAGGTGGCGTCTCCGTACACCTCAAAAACTTTTTTCTGTTTGTAACGGATGCCGTAGGTAATTGACTTGTTTTAGTTTCGCCAGATCGCTTAAGGCTCGTCAGGACTTAACCATTTAGCCGCCCCTGGTCGTTTCGATCTGATGAGCATCATACAGCAACCCGAACGTGTAATCACTGCTGCATGATGGGTGTTGAACCCCCCAAGCTAACAGTCATACTCCACCTACAAACATTGCTCCTCTACAGTGGGAAGATGAGTTGCACCCATTTGATTGGCTGACGAACTTCACGTCAAAATACCGCCCTGACACTTTTTTAAACATGAACCCCTGACAACGTTATTCGAAATTGGAACTGTGGAGCAGATACTTCTGTGGCAACAATACTTTGCACACATGCACTTGAAAGAAATTGAAAATCATTGAACTGTACGATTTTAATTTCCAGAGAAACAAGAAATCTTCGAATTTTTAAAACTTCCAGTCCACAAAAGTTTGAAGACTTTGAACCCAAACTTCTTGAAACATAATAAACACAATGCCCCCCCCCCCCCCCCAAAAAAAAAAAAGACGAGAAATTTTGCAAGCATCGAAATTTGCAAATTCGAAACTCGGTGGTGTCCGAAAATTGCTACCATTTCGAATTCAAAGCTCAGTGAGAAATTAAACAAAACAAAAATTAATAAAAACTTTTTAATTTAAATTTTACTGAGATTTGGAAATCTTGAAACCTTCTGGACTGGAACCTCGGGTGGTTTGCGAGTCGTCGAGAGATGAGGCGCAACAAAACGTTTGCGCTTCACGCGTTACGGGGTTTTCGATTTGTCGCACCAAGTAGATTTTTCACACTTACCGTGCATATCGTTGCAGTTGTGTCTCCGTCGTCACATTGCATCTCGCCTTGTACGACGAAGGGAAGATCGTGGGGATGTAAGCGGGGTGCTGAGCGATGGAGCTTTTTTTGTTTCCTACGAAGTGGCAGCTGCAAATCCTGGCCTGCCCATTCGCGGGTTCCCAGGAGTCTCCGTCTCCGCTGTACACAAAAATGCAGTGTCTAACTGTGCCAGCGAGAAACAATTCTGTATCATGGAGAGCAAACAAAAACCGAGAAGCGACAAAACTAAAAAAAAAAAAGGTTTCCTTACGTTGCGCGCCGCACCGCTGCAACCCATTTCCGTCGACGCTCTGCCTCGTACGGCTTTGCTGGAAAGCGGTAAAACTCTACCACTGGGAGCTTCCCAGCTGTGTTTCCGTAGCTGTTGTGGCAATCGTAAACACAGCAATAAACAGAAGTGCGCTTTTTCGCCTGCGTTGTTGCGGACGGCATAACGAAAGCAGCCGGGGTACGCCTGCACTTTACGCCTGGCAAGCCTAACGCGAAAGCAGTCGGGAAGGGCGGTAACATACCAATAGTTTTTATTTCGTCGGACAGATGGCGCCACGGGTTTTTTTCAAAACACCAGCGCCCGGAGCGTATACCTGACAAGCTTGCAATAGACCTTTCGCTATATTACCCAAGCATCCAAGAGAATGTTCGGAAAGTAGGTACACGCGCTGCAGGTGCTCTCCTACCCTATACAAGAAAAAAACAAACAAAAAAAACAAGTAAATCACCAAAATTATGTGTCCGTGGAACACGCGTGCGAAGTGCCAGTTGTTTTAGATTTTTGCTTTCGATCAGTTAGAGGTGAAGACGCCAGCATATGCAGCGCGTGTACCTACATTCCCGACATTCTTTTTGAAGGTTATTCAGCAAAAGGTATATTGCACGTGTTGCCCACCCAAACGACACGCGCTTGGCGGCCAAGATATCCAGGATTGGGGAAAGGTTTTTCGTGTTTTCACGGGTTTAGGTACATCTTCGGTAAAAACGAGCGTGATATTCTTATTCACGGGACAAAAATACTCTAGAATTCACCTCTAACTCGTTTTCTTCAATAACCTTCTCGGCTTCTCTTCAAAGGGTAACAATGATCAAAAGTCGAACTAAACTAAATGAAGAATATCGACTTACAGAATCTAAATACGAGCACTGCCAAAATACTACGCTGATCGGAAGTCGCGACCCACTCTAAAACCGATGTTAAAAATGCTACCACTAGCTTTTCAACGAGCACTCAGCCGGTTAACTTTTTACCAAGCATACTTGTACCCCGATGTTGTGTTCGTACTGATGGAGGTTATGTGGTTGTACTGCCATTTCTTTTGCGGTGTATTTCTGCTGCGTTTTCAGCCGTCCCATCAAAAGATTTCCGGTTGTTAAGTTATGCCGTAAGCCGGGGTCACACTGCTCATACCCCCTCCCCCCCGCCCCCCCCCCCCCCCCCCCCCCCATCCTACAAAAGACAGTCTGCAAACACGAGTCACCGCAATATCCATGGTTCGAATGCCGCGTGGTGACACGTTTTCTCATTGAACTCATTGCCATTCGGCATTCGAAGCACGGATCTTGTGGTGACTCGCGTTCGAATGTGTATGCAAAATGTCTTTGAATAATGCATAAGCAGTGTTACCCCCGGCTTTATGGGCCGCCGTTTGTAAGTGCTCCTCAGCGATCGCGAACAATGATTATTAACTCCCCGCTCGCTCAAGCTCCATGGTGCCGAAGGTGGCATCTACTGGCGGCCATAGTTTAGTCCCTTCCTGCCGTGCGGGAGCTTGCGATTATTTTCGACAACGCTTTTGAAACGTGCATGGCACACCGCAAAGATCGTAGTTCTTTTCAGACGGTAAGTGGGGCTTGTTCTGACCCTGCGCTGAGCCTGCGTTCATTGAACTTGCATTGGCCGGCAACTTTAAGAACGTGTATAACTTGTTACAGACGTTTTATATATACGAAGCAAACCAGTAAAACAATCATGGCATATTACTTGACTGATCAAAACTGCTCTTCCGACTAAGCCAGTCGTACGTTTTGCTGTACCACGGTACCAGCTTTACATTACGCGATGGCCATGTAGCTGATCACAAGGGCTACCTACCATCATGCCCGAGGCGACAGTTTCGGATTCGCCGTAGACTTTCAAAACAAAACTTTGAAATAAGATATCTATAGAACTACACAAGGCATAAAACAAAATTAGGCAACTTGTAATTCTGGGACACTTCCTTCACTGAAAACACTCTTAGTCCTAAAATTGAGAAAATGTACCGAAGTGACCCTTTAAAGCAATCTTTTTTATGTTGCTTGACTCGTTTTCCATCTTTAATATATATATAATTTATTTATATTTTATTTCAAATACTCTCAGGGCCATCGACATTACAGAACGGAGTGGGGGCCAGTACACTTTGATAATCAGTCGGAACGGTTTATAATATTTACGGCAGTTGTCGCTATCGGTGTGCGAAGATGGTTTTAGTCCACAAAACTTATTGGGAGGAGCGACCCTTGAAATCTATTAGTGTTTCATTTTGGAATGCCTACCCAATATATATGATCCAACCGTGAAGAAATATAAAACGGATGTTTCAGCAATCGATCTTGAAGTAATAGATTAGTATGGCATATGTTGTGAAAGAAACACAAGCGAGCTATTTTTAGGGAGTAAAGCAAGATTAGGCATTGATAGAGTGGCATTCATAGACCTTATACTGGTGGTTTGATGATATGTGTTAAGAATAAAACAAGCAAAACACTTTTATGCTGATTCTAGAGTATTAATTAGTTTCTAATGATCAGGCTTCCGGATGGCAGAAGCGTATTGTAATTTAAAGCGAACAAGTGTTTTATACAGAGTTACTTCCAGAGAAGGAGCACGAAATAAATTTTGTTTAAAATAACACAGCATGCGGTTATCGTGCTGCGTTATCAACATGTATCTACCAGGAAATATCTGCAGATATATGAACACCCAAGTATTTTTATAAATGCACGGAAGGTAAGGTGATGCTTACAAGAAAATAAGTTGGAGGAATATTAGATTAACACCATATACTCTGATGGCTTTGCATTTAGTCGTGTTAAGTTTTATCCCTTATTAGTCACACAAGTTAGAGAATGCGTTAATATCTTCGTGTAAATTCTGAGTATCCAAAGTGTTAGCAACTTCTCCGTAAATAAGACAATAATCAGCGAATAAACTAATGCAAAAAAGAAATGGAATATGGCAAATCATTGATATATATAAGAAACATTAATGGACCCAGTACATAACCCTGTGGTATACCAGAATTAACGAAAACAAGTGGAGATCTCCTATCATTCAATTCAATTCAATTTCATTTTATTTTCCAACACAGTGAGTGCCTGGGGGAGGCATACAGACAGCAACATTTTTTGAAGAAGTACCAAAAAATATAACGCGTAACAACATGAGTACACATAAACACCATGTGAATGTCTACAATTCTATGTGGCACAGGTCAAAACACTATACAAGTATTATCAACCGTTGATGGAATTATAAATGACCTAGATCAAATTTTCCCAGATGGAGTGTTTTCTATCAAAAATTATAATAAAGTTTTGAACACCAAAACTGTCCCATATACAAGATAGACTAATGCAGTATTATCTATTGATTATAGCGTGTTTTAGGTATTAAATGCAAAAACGAAGTGACACCATATATTTCCTCTGATAGCATCTCGTCGGTATGTCGAGCGAAGTATAACTGAAAAAATGTGCGACGGGCCAGCCACTCCCCCATATCGATTGTTGGACGAAGCGGAAATGAAATAGAAAAACTCAAAAAACTCAAACCCCGTCTTTTTTTACGGTTTGGATTATAATTTGTTGATCTGCATCATACTCTGGATATGTATATATATGACCCTCTGTTTGTCCTCTCTTGTTTTATAGATACGGAGCAAGGTGCCCACGAACGCCGGCTCCTCGGAGATCTTCTGGCCAACTACAACACGCTCGAGCGCCCGGTCTTCAACGAGTCCGAGCCGCTCATCCTCAGCTTCGGTCTCACCTTGCAGCAGATTATCGACGTAGTAAGTGGAACAACCAACGTGCTGGTTGCGACGAATATAGACGCTGCCTCCTAGTGAGAGGCTCTGTACTCGACCCTCAGCCGTGGCTCACGATCTTTGTAAAAGGAGTCCCGATCCTGCACGTCTCCTGTGATCGCTTGCGGCTGTGGTGCGAAGCTATCTGAAGTTTCCTAAGCAGTGCACAGTGCTTCGTATTTTTTGCTTATAGTTTGCTAAGACACTCTAGCAAAGGTTGTGCGTTTGCTGATCGAGTGGTCGTTTAAGTCGGCACTTTCGCAAAGCTGTTTTGTTGCGCGCGACGAAGAATGTTCAACAAAGTCTAGCTAGAAATCTAAATTCGTTAACAACAGCCGCGAGTGTGGATTGTCTTAAGTACTATTCACTTCCCAAAAAAAAAAAAAAGAACTTCTTACATTAGACGTCTTTTGCGCCATACCTTAATATTTACATTTTAGATAACTTTTTTTACTACTCTAAATTGTTTTTAATGTGATACATTGTTTGTGTATTAAAACGTATTCTACAAGCGCCAAACTGGTTTCAATTTGGTGGAAGATTACGGCGGATATGGCGATTAACGTGTAACCCAGGTTGGAGTGTCACGTTAAGATACTAACGTATTTATAAGTCAATCGGTGTGAGTTAGATTTCTCTCGTTTATATGGCAACAAAAAAAAAAACGATTAAAAAATGGAAAGTGAAGAGCTTAAGCTGAAATCTCCTTCTTTATTTTATTTTCATTTTACGTGGCAGATATTTATTTATTACATGCTGCGTTACTGCTATCCTAGGTCATGATACGTCAAGCACTGGTTATATCACCTATCGGTTTGCACCCTCTTTCCTCATTTTTGCCTCCGTGAACTCACCTATGAATGTAGCGCAAATGTAGTGAATTAAAAAAAAAATGAACTAAGCGTCAAAAAGCGGTCCAGGAGATGAAACTGGCTCAGGACTCTTTGAAATGCGTGTCAATCGTACACACGCGCAAACGCTCAATATAAACAAATTCGCAAAAGTGTACAATATGTATTCATTATATTCAATAGTTCGAAAGATGCACAACAGCATATTTTCTACCATAATTCAAACCTTATACCACATCCATCAAGAAATGGTTGCGTTTTGCTGACAGTTTGTTAACCAAAAAATAACAAGCGTCAGGTATTTGTGTGTTTACAAAATGTTGTTTATGAGCCGAAAACAAATATCACGACATGATGAACTGGCCCAAATCACCAACCTACATAAATATCACGATATATCGTGGCGTGAAATGTCAAGAGTAGCTGTCGGAGACAATCTCTTTTTTTAATTTTTTATAGCCACAAGACATGAAAGGGTAGCAGCGATAATGTATGAACGCTTTCTCCAGCGTTGTTCGAAGTCAGATGATTTGGTGAAAGGAGTTTTTGCGTGCGTACATTCAACACATATGACGACGTTTCCTGACTAGAGTCGTGGGCATCAGATGACAATATCCTTCAAAATTACATTAAAGGGGCACTGACACATCAAAATCATATTTTTTTTATTATCCGAAACGATTGAAAACGATGCCGGGACATTACCCTCAAAATTTGAGATTTGGGAATTCAGTATTCGTGAAGTAAAAAAACAATTTCCAAATGCCGAATTCGAAGTTCCCGCGCGATCGGCACCGGTGCCTTGACGTCAAAAATTGCGGAGACCTGAGAGTCCCCTTTCCTGTCACCACTCCCTGCTGTTGCCATGGCGACCCAAAGCGAGGAGGAAAGGAGCGAGCGCCCGGCGTTGCGGCGGACCGGTTTTGAGCGGTGTCGTCTGTTTTCCGTTGGAGGATACAAATCCAGGAGACGGCACCACAACGAACTCCCGATTTTTGGTCTTTCAAAAAGAAGAGCCGTAGTGCGTTCGCAATTGCGTTAAAAAACATGTTTTAGGATTGCCGTAATTAAATGTTATAGAGATGTCGCCTACAAAGCTTCTAAATTTCCTGATTTTTGACGTCACCGATCAAAAGAAGCGAGGAGGCGAGAGGCGGGAAAATCAAACGCCAAAAATAAAAAGGCGCGCGCGCGCGCGGGAAAATTTTTTTTCGCGATGCGTTTTTTTTTGCGTGTTTATGACTGCAACTTGCATCGTTTTAGACAATAAAAATAAATACGACCTTTGGGGTGTCAGTGCCCCTTTAATATATTTTTCCAATAGATTTGTTCTACGCTTGAGCTACTTATTTTAAAATTGACATATTATCTGACTTAAACTTACAGGTCGTGCAAAATATTAGGGTTCGACGGCTAATAAAACTTTAAAAAAAATGAAAGACGTTTACAATTTTATGTGATGCCATATTAGAGCGCAGCGGCGTAAATCTTCAACCACTGAGTTGCCTTTTTTCTCTGTCTTCCCTCTCCAAACAGAGAGAAATAAAGAGTTTGAGTGAGTTTGAGCTCTTGAGGAGGAGGAGGAAAGGGTACGGAGGGGAATTCATGGGAAATTTGTGGGACGATATCCCGGTAAGTTCTCCCCGCTAAAACTAGCGGGCCAATTTTCCCGCTAAATCTGTCAGAAAATATTTCCCCGCTAAATTTAGTAAAAAAAAATTGCCCGCTTAATTTGGCGGAAAATTTTTCTGCTAAATATGTCGAAAAATTGCCCGGGGAACTTGTCCCGCCAAACTTAGCGGGGAAAATGCCCCCCCTCCCCCAATTTAGCAAAAAAGTGTTTCCGCCAAATTCAGCGGGCAATTTTTTCTGCGACATTTAGCGGAAAAATTTTCCTGCTAAATTTAGAGATAAAATTCCTTGCTAAATTTGGCGCTGAGTTCTCCCGCTAAGTTTGTCGAAAATTTTTCCACTAAATTTAACGGTAAAATTTTTTCCACTAATTGTGGCGGAACAATTTCCCGGCTAAACCTAGTGAGAAAAATTTCCGCTAAATTTAGCGGGAAAAGTTTCCCACTAAATTTGGCGGAAAACTTTTCCGCCAAATTTAGAAACCGTGTGACGTCAGGAGGGTGACGTCACTCGTGACCATCGTGACGTCACACGTGACGTCACATGTGGTGTCATTATGGGAAAGGTCCCATAATGCAAGGAACGGTTACGCCGAAGGCAACGGCGACGCCGCTTAAGCCGGAAACAGGCGCCTAAAAGCTGCGCTATAAGAAAGTTACTATAAAGAAAACATTCCCTCGATAGGGTGTCATTAAAAGAAGAGGTAAGTTAGAGTCTCTTATAGCGGAACTACATCTCCCGCTACGCAAATGATTTAATCAGATGCAGCGCAAATACTTGTTGAGAGCCATGTCTAAACAAGCAAACTAAATTGATGCTAAGACAATTAAGATCTTTTTTCATATTCAGGTTAATTTTAGAGGACAGAGCGGGCGCTTCTTCCACCCTGGGAGTTCATTAAAAGCAGAGGCGAGCCTTTCAAGAACAGCTTCTGCACTAACCTGTTCAATTTTTGACTCCGCCAGACGTTTTATCTTCATATCACCGTAAATTCATCCCGACCTGTTACGAAACGCCAGCCCTTTCATAATGCGGCATCGCTCGACGTTGGTAGACTTAGCTTGAACGCGTGCATCGCCATGGTCTAAGCAACGCGGCTCTCCCCTAGTTTCCAGTCATTTTTATCGATGCGGCGGAGCACGACATGCTTCCGCTCGACTGATTAGCAGCGATTTCCAGCGACCTAATTGCTACCTCGTGGATTATCGGAGAATCACTGCAAAGAATTCGCGGCGAGCGTCACAACGCAATGAACATGCCCTTGGTTGTTGTAGCGTTCCATCGGAAGAAATATACACAAGTAAACAAAAGAAATGACACTGACTGCTTAGGCCAGATGAGAACTGTCAATATCGTGATATTTCGGTGTTAACGAGTTTTTGCAATGTTTTTTTCGTAAGTTGAGTTCCGGATTGCTCAAATAGGGCTACCTAGGGAAAATGTTTTATGATTACGCCGGGTGTTTTAACGAAGGCTTTTAAAAACCCTGATAAATATTGTGTTTGAGAAAAACAAAACCTATTTCCGGGAACAACGCCGACAGTCAGTTACCCAATTATGCATATATTGCCGGCTACTCAAAGCTAAAATGATCACTGAAACAGCTGGAATGTTTTCACCATGCTAGGTTGTGTACGGAAATCAAAACGACACCACGCAGTTGGACGGGTATAACCCAGAAATAGCATGAAAAGTGCCCAAACCGGACCATCTCATGACAGTGTTACGTTTGGAGAACACTGTGCTCCCACATTCTTAATGCGAGTTTTTTGTTTGTTATTCTTTTTAAGAAGAAGAAGCGAAGATTAAGGGGATAAACGTGCACAGCTTCTTATTAGGCCTAATTTGCTTGGCGAGGCGCCAACTTGAAAAAAGCGAACTTTTGTGTTAGGATACTCGGTGCATCAGTAATAACGTTGTGTGTTTTCGTCTCTAGTGCTACAGTATCCCGGATAGGACTTTTATAAGGTAGTATTTATAAACTGTTACTTATTCAAGCTAGGGAAATGTTTTTTTACTGTCAATTGGTTTATTTTTTTTAAATAAACAGGCCGGATATGTTTATGCAAACCTTCATATATTATGCATAACAAGCTTATTTTTTTGTTATATTAAAGCCATCCAACATATGAGTAAGTGCCAACGAATAATTAACAAACTGGAAAAACACATACTGTAAACAACTTAATTTTCGCACTGGCCTAAATTTCGCGAATATCGCGAATCGCGTGCAATTCGCGGAAACTAGGTCTCGCGAACAATTCCGGTAAAATGTAAAATCATTAGAATTTATATTGAGATTCCACCGCGTCGCAATTTTTAGAGCCCGCGAATTATTTCGAAATTTCAGCTTTGACCAAAAATCGCGAAATGTAGAGCCCGCGAAAAATAAGTCGTTTAGAGTATTTATGGCACAACTTAGTATCTTAAGATAGAAATGAAAAAAATAACGTATTTCCGATTGTACTGATTTGTGTATCCAAACCACATATACGTCTTTTA